ATTTTTGCCCTTTTCCCACAATCCTTGATTCCCAAATGATCATGAATCTATCAATCATCGGTAATATTGGTATCAATGAATGCATAAGGTCCTTAAACTTGGTGTTAAACCTAAGGTTAGGGAAAGAGATTTAAATAAACAGTTGATAATGAAGCAAAGAAGTCGGAGATTATCTTTGCAATATAATCAATGACGACGTACAATCTAAAAACAGCTATAAATATTGCTTGTTAAAGGTGCGATAGTTTGAAATTAACTCCCTAAGGAATTTAATTTCTCCTCCTCACTGGCACTTTAACTACATGGGGTAGCATTACCACTTTTGGGCATAATCAGCAATTCAGGCACCAATAGCGCCAGTTGAGTTTCTTTTATCTTCAAGTTTTCACTCAAACTCATTTGCAACATAAATTTGTCATGAATCAGTGAAGCCAGCATCATCTCAAAATATATGTTTCTAAATTTAAAGAGTATCCTTGATTTATTTCAGTGTGGTTATTTGGTGCAATTTAATTAATGAAACAGAAAATACGTTTATCAAAAAAAACTACCGTTAAACACAGGATCTCATCCATCACCTGTGAAAGCCCTGATTTTATGTAACTGAAAAATCACTTCAAAAAAATCATAGAACCATGTGCTGGTAGTATTGGTACATAGTTTCTTAGTACCTCAAGAAATCAAAGGTTCTTAAAGCATGTATATTAACACCTTTATGCCCAAGAGAACTAACTGGATTTTAAGACCCTCCTTGAAGGAGAAACAGGCACATTTAGCAAAAATGTGCAAAAAAGTGATTAATTTTATTTGGCAGAAGCACAAATTTATATTTGATGATTCCCATAGATACCAATAAATTTTAGAAAAACAAACTTCCAATTAATAGCTGTAAAAATGACATTCAAGATTTAACATTTTAAAACATTTACTGTACAAATGAGCTGAAAACACTGGTCACCACTTTTACAGGCAACTTACAATTTAAACCAAAGAACAGAATACCAACTTATTCTTAGCCCAACAGAAAAAAAGTATACTTTACACGTGCTTTATATAGGCAATTAACTTTTCTGGAATCAATCCAAAGTGATTCTTAGCTCCTGGGAAAGTATCTAGCACTGTTCTCAACCTGGTAACTTGCAATGCGAGGAGTCTTTCACAATGAGATTTTCTTTTCCCAGAAACTCTCCTAGTTATTGCAAGGTGACTCCACCAATCCAGTTTCAACTTCCCCTAAGTTGTTTTTTTCCATCAGAGCACAAGCTTTTACCCACATTCCTGAGATATGGACTACAGGGTTTTTGACCTCTAGCTCCTCTGTCCCTGCTCTTCAAATCCAGGCAGACTAAAAACACCTTCTGTGAAATTCAGTGTTATTCTAGGAAAGCATGTTATCTGATATTTATTATAAATTCTTCTGCATCCTTCCTCATTAATCATGCAATCTTTATTTTTTTTTAATTCACTTGTGGAACATGGCCGTCACTGGAGGTCATCTCCAGTTGCTCTTGAGGAAGTGGTGGTGAGCTGCCTTCTTGAACACTGCAATCTATGTGCTGCAGATAGACCCACAGTACTATTGGAATGGAATTCCAGGATATTGACCCAGCCACACTGAAGGAACAGTGACATTTTTTCAAGTTTGGATGGTGAGTGGTTTGGAGGAGAACTTGCAGGTGGTGGTGTTTCCTTGTGTCTGTTGCCCTTGTCCTTCTAGATAGAAGCGGTCATGGCTTGAAAGCTGCTAGAAAGGAGCCTTGCTGAATTACTGTAGTGCATTTTGTAGATAATATATACAGAGCATTGGTGGTGGAGGGAGTGGATGCTTGAGGTGCCAATCAAACGGTTTGCTTTGTCCTGGATAATGTCAAGCTTCTGGAGTGTTGTTGGGTCTGCACACATCCAGGCAAATGGAATGTATTCTATCACACTCCTGATTTGACTTGGTAGATGGCAAACAGGCTTTGGAGAATCAGGAGGCAAGTTATTCATTGCAGTATTCCTAGCCTCTGACTTGCTCTTGCAGCCACTGTATTTATATGCTAAGTCCAGTTCAGTTTCTGGTCAACGGTAACTCTCAGGATATTGATACTGGGCGATTCAGAGATAGTGATACAATTGAATACCGAGGGCAATGGTTAGATTGTCTCTTATTGGAGATGGCCATGGCCTGGCATTTGTATGATGTGAATGTTACTTTTAGATAACAAACTAAAGAGAAATTGCTGAAGGAACTCAACAGGTCTGGCAACATCTGTGAAGAGAAAACAGAGTTAACATTTCCAGTTCAGTGGCCCTTCTTTAGAAATGATATATAGATGGAAATACATAGAGCTATCCTTAAGAGACCAACTGTCTCATTTTGGGACTAAATGGACTGTTTAAGGCACAAGTGTCTGCAATCAAGATTCTCAATACTTTTCTAGGATTTGGAAAACACTGTCTTCAATATTAATACAGGCTGCCATTACTGTCTCAAGCATAAAACACCCTGCATCTTCTTTCAAGTAAAACAATCTAAACAATTGTTCTGAAGAAAGGTCACTGGATTTGAAACATTAACTGCTTTCTCTCCACAGATGCTGCCAGACCTGCTGACATTTTCCAGCAATTCTGTTTTGAAAACAATCTAAACCTTCCTTTGATCTCCAACAATCAAACCACCTAGGCTTGCTGACAAACATTAAAGGTCATAGGATCTATTTCATTTCATTCCTCATTTCAAAGATAGCATCAAAACATTATAATCCTATTAATCTTGTAACTGTAACTTGTGGCTGGAGTCAGCTTCTAGCACTTATCTTAATCTAGCTTTTAAATTATGTGGAAAGTCAATTTGCACTATTATACTGTACATGGTTGAAATCTGATGATCTTTTGCATAGGTTTGGCCAAATTTGGGTGAACTATTCTGAAAAAGAGTGCAACCTAGTGG